TAGCTCTGTTCTACTCTTTATAGGGACTTGTTAATGTGCTGGTGTATGTGCTAAATATGCTTTTATAAGGTAAATGATGTTTTGTAGCATGAGGCTAACAATACCCAGTGTGCTTAACCTGACCATCCCTTGTTCTGTGAGAAGGCAAGAGGAAAATAACATTTGTCTCAATTTCAACATATAAGAAAGAACATGCCGTATTGTTTTTTCTGTAATATATAGTGTAGACAATCATTGAACTCCTAATTTAAAAATGCTTTTATCTGATGGCTTTTGACATTGCTAGTCCAACTATACAAACTATATTCTGGCAGATTAAAATGGTTACCATGAGGGTATCATGACTGCTGTTTTGAATTGCTTTGTTTCTATACCTACAATATATATTGGCAAGAAATGAAGTGGTATGGCAGATACTTTGCTGGTTTATCTTCCTACAGATAGGGCATTGGCTAGCTCTAGTGCTGGACCCCATGAAGACCTGTGCTCTAAGCAGTTTCTTGGATTATGGAAATAAAAGTGCTGTTTGTTGCACGTTAATAGGAAAAAAGTTAAGCCTTGTTTGAAAGACTTTTAGTGTCTATAAACTTGATTTTGCAGTTTTGACTGGGCAAAGTTTTATCTATGTCAGCTGGTGCATAAATTGTGTTTAACACCACTGTACCTACCCAGCATCTTGTCTTTGTATTACATGAAATAGTAGACCAGCAGATTTTTTTTTTTCTTCCCCTGAAGAAGAGCTTGAGAGAGAATCTGCTTCCCTGCAGTGGTGTAGGGTTGGCTAAATGCCAATGTCAGTGAGCTGTTTATTGTTTTCTTTTTTTAATATCTGGTTCAAACTGATAAAACATCCTCTTCCTTTTGAATCTGACAAATTACTAAGAAAGGTATGAGTAATGCTTTGGAGAAACTTGGGGAAGCAAATTCTTCATGAATTTTTACAGAAATGGTATTTCTGCAAATCAGTTACTTTACTGAGTGAATATAAAAAGGTAGTGTGGTTTTTCTGGTACCACTACTTACCTCTGTGTCCCATTGACTTAGAGGAGAGGTGTATATTCAGGACCTCAGCTCCAGCAGCTTTAAATTCTAGAGGTCAGAGCTAGCTTTCTCCCAGTCTTCACCTATTACCTTCTCAAGAGAATTACCAGGGGGATGGATGTAGCTCTTCAGCACCTGGAAGAAATGGATGAAAATGATGATCATGTGCAGCACCACATAAAATCCATTACCAAGTTGAGGTGACAGCTTTCCCAAGCTAGCGGTTCATGGAATTGGTGCTGTGACCTATCTGCTTGCTAGCTCAGATAGTAGATGTCCTGATATGCCAATTTTCTGACTATATTGACCATGTATATGTTTATTCTTTCCTTTAAAAGTATTTCCAAATTGCATTTTAACTGTATTAAATTATGTGGCCTGAATTAATTTTTTCAAAGGGCATTTTGGAAATTGTGAGTCGCTCTGAAGCTTAGTAGCAGAATTAAAAAATGCTTTTGCAACAGGCTTTAACAGGAACAGGGTCTCGTGTTCTGTTTAGTAATCTGAATCTCTCCTGCTTCTGAAAGGATCCCATCAGCTACTATCTATTGGCAGTCATCAGATCAGCATTTCAGGGAGACAGTCTGGCTAGAAGCTCGCTGGTTGGGAGGAACCCTCTAAAGCCAGATCACCTCCTAATCTGGCTCAAAAGTTCTGGCTGGGTTTCTGGTACTAGTGTGGGAATGTTCAGGAACATGCCCTGAGAGAGATAGAAGGTCCTTCCAGTGACACCTCTCATGTCAATTAGTTTAGACAGATAGTGAAACCAGTATGTTAGCTGGCAGAAGAGGCTGTTGTACACACAACTCATGGTATTTTTTCCCTGCACATTTCTTGGACCCAATTGAATTTGGATTACTTTTTTTTTTGTTTTTCCTAAAAGTCGGTCATCCTGCACCACACCCCAATCAACCTGTCACTGCAGCACACTGCAGATCATTTCTCATGACAAACTCTTCAGAAGGAATGGTTGTGTGGTAAAGCCTGACTCGGCCGTAGTACCGTAGTTGTCCCTAAACCTTGTTCTGACGTAAGAGTATGTTGCACAAAAGCTCAAGCTCAGTGATTGACAGATGGGCGTCTTGCTTGCCTGGATAGGTGGAGACACGTTACTTTGAAAGTGGGAGAAAGGTGAGCGAAGGATGTCTTGCTTTCTGAATGATAAATGCTGTCACGTACTTCATTTACAGAGCAGTAAAGTTTAAAGGGCTCTCCATCCTCTGTGCTATCCTTGTCTCATGTGCTTAAGGAATAAAATTTATACTGGGCAGTTACTGCCTTGGTAAAGAGTTGGAGAGGGTAGGTGAAGTTGCTGGAATTTCTTTGGAATCAGAAGTGATAATGACAATCTGGCACGGTGGTGCTGCTCAACCTGAAATTTTGTGAAGGTGTAATTTGGTAGAAGCTGCATCTAGCGAATGTGTCAAAAAGCTGAGTGAAGAAGGTGCATCTGGCCTTTTGCATTCCAGGGCAGCTTTGAGTACACCATTTCAGGAGTTCGGGATTCATTGCACTAGTCTGAATACTCAAAGGCAAACGTAACAAAGTTTTTTTGCCACCATAATGTTTTGTGTAATTAGTACATGAGAGAAAAATGTAACTTTTCCTTATGTTGTGTTTACGTGCTTCTCTTACACTTTTCTGAGATAAATGGACTAAGCACTTCAGCTGCAGATGGGGGCCTGAACATAAACTTAAGCCTTTTCTGATGGACACTGGTGTTAGTTCTTGGCTTTGTGATTAGCCGTGTTCATGAATGAGAGGAGTAGATGTAGCAGCAGCTGTGATTGAGGTGCTAAGCTCTTAACATGTGTTGGGATGAACTGAACATACAGTGAACTGAACAGCCGTTTACAGTCTCCTCTGACGTGAAAGATGGCAAGCTCGACACAGTAACTTTCCACTGTGGCTCCCAGCTGTATGGTCTGTGCCGAGCATGTTGTTATATACCTTAAGAACTTTTACTAAGTCCTTCAAGCGTGATTGTAAATGGTAGCTGCTTTTGTTGACAAAGCTACATTTCATTCATCTTCTTTTGGTAGATTTATTTTCCAGATTTTGCTTTTTTTGTCCTTTTCAGCTGTTGTGCTCTGCTATGTTCTTGCATTTTTCTTAACAGTAAAACTGCTATGTGGTAGATATGAGGGAATCTCCAGTAACTTAGGAGTAGCCTGTGGACTAAGCCTGAGAACTTTGGTAACTTTCTCTGAGTAAAGCTTTCCTAATTTCTTGAAAAACATACCAGTTTGATTCACTTATGGATGAAGAAAACACCTGTAAGGTTTCTCAGGTATATTATTAACATACTAATGTTTAGTAGCAATTACTGCTAGACATAAAGGTAATTTTTGTGTAGTGCATCTGGAGTTTGAAAGGTTATTAACATAAGTTATACAAAAAACATATATAAATCTTATTTTGTCTTACTACCTATAATGGTGGCATAAGCTGGCCTTGCTGCTATTCTTATGTTTAATATACCTTACTTCAAAAATACTGTTCTTAAGAAAGGATAAATTGAAAGTCTCTTTTAATTGCTATTTGCAAAAAAAAGTAATTTTTTGTCTGATACTGTGATACACAATTTTAGTTGCAGAAAGAGCAAGCTTAGATTATAACTCCAGCGTTTGCATTGGTTTGCACACTCTGAGGCAGTGCTGCCTCATTGAGAGCTCCCTCTGAACTGGCTTTGCCATCTGACCACTTAACAGGCTGCGTGGCAGGGTGAAGGCTTTTCTCTGGTTGTGCACAGCCAACTGTAATGCCTTGACAGCAGAGATATAGCATTTAAAAGTTGAATCAATACTGTCATGGTTTAATCCCAGCTGGCAACTAAGCCCCGCACAGCTGCTGGCTCACTCCCCTCCCAGTGGGATGGGGGAGAAAATCACAAGGGTGAAAGTGAGAAAAAACCCATGTTTGAGAACAGTTTAAGAGGTAAACCAAAAGCCGTGCACACAGGCAAAGGAAAACAAGGAATTCATTCACCGCTTCCCATGGTCAGGCAGGTGTTCAGCCATCTTCAGGAAAGCAGGGCTCCATCATGCGTAACGGTTACTCGGGAAGACAAACACCATCACTCTGAACGTCCTACCCCTTCCTTTTTCTTCCCCCATCTGTATATGCTGAGCATGACGTCATATAGTATGGAATAGAATATCTCTTTGGTCAGTTGGGGTCAACTGTTCCAGCTGTGTCCCCTCCCAACTCCTTGTCCACCCCCAGCCCACTCGTGGGTGGGGTGGGGTGAGGGGCAGAGAAGGCCTTGACTCTGTGTCAGCACTGCTCAGCAACAGCTAAAACATCCCTGTGTTATCAACACTGATTCCAGCACAAATCCAAAACACAGCCCCATAGTAGTGGCTAGTATGAATAAATTTAAATCTACCGCAGCCAAAACCAGCACAAATGCATAGTAACTGGGGATAGCTATATATGCAAATAAGAAGAAGCAAATGGGCTATGGGAGTTTTGAAAAAACTTTAGAGAAGAAGGAATATCAATTAGCCTACCCCTAATAGTAGGTTACTACTGAAATAAAACAAAGTTCGATCTTAGCTTTGAATTAAGATTGTTTTAATTCCTGATAAACCCTGATCAGAGCTTTCTGGGCAGTACCAAGCTTTAATGTAAGAGATGTGTAATTTCTTTACAGTCTTTTTGCAGTGAAAATACAGACATGATTATTCTGATAAGCTCTGACTTAGTGTGTTTGTAAAAGTTTTTTCCTTCTGAGGCAAATAGCATGCGTGTCTCTGTAATTATCAGTTGCACTTATCCCTATGGTATAGTGTGACATAAAGTCTGTATTTTGAATGCTGTAAGGTTTTAGTGTAGAGGAAATTTCATTCTGCCAACTTTTATTTCATTCTGCCAACCTCTTAAAATGTGTCAACAATTGTAATTTTTCCTCAATATACCTGAGTTTATTTTCCTTTTTCTTTTTTTTTTCCCCATAGGCAAAACCAAAGCTCATAGAACCAATAGACTACGAAAATGTCATCGTTCAAAGGAAAACGCAGATTTTGAATGATGGTTTACGTGAAATGCTACTATTCCCTTATGATGACTTCCAGGTAATTTAATCCTCTCTTCCTCCTCCTCCTTGGTTTTTTTATAAGACGGATTTTTAGCAGTAGTAGTCATGAGATGATAACTTCCCATTTCTTTGGGGAAGTTTTTTCTTTGTTTTTTTTGGGGTTTGTTTGACTCTTTACAGAAAAAGTAATGTTTGCCATGAGTTCCTTTACGCTGCCTGATTTATTCTATCAGGTTACAGAAGAAGAAATAGCACAATTTCTTCATCTATTAAAATTATAAATTCCTCCTCTGTGATTCAGCAATTTTACTGCCTTTTGAAGTAAGGGATGACTCCCTCCCCCCCCATCCTCCTTGACAGTGTAGGACATGAACCTGTTCAAATGAAAGCTGTTACTGTCAGCTGTGTGTTACCAACCAAAATTGGGTTTTGGCAAAATAACCCCTGCATAACAGGACTCTGATTTGATTAAGCCAGACTTAACCAAGACATGTGATCATCTTCATTATATTACTATAAAATAACCATATTTATCTAAATAAATTGTTCATTTAAATATAATTTTTTGTATCTTGTTGTAGAGCCACTTAGGATAATGGCCAAACATCTTAAGAGATGGTGTAAATAGTGGGGAAAGTCTCTCTCACACATACCTGCAGTCAAAATGTCTGCCTGTGTTTGAAAAGTATGCAAGCATCTGAACTGTTGGTAAATTATCTACTTCTAGGGACTGTATCATAGTTAGATACCTTAGAATTGTTCTGTAAAAACCTACGTGAAAAGCTGAGCCCTTTATTGAGCCAAGTAGCTGAAGCTAAGTTTATGTTTAGCATGTGGAAAGTTGGTGATGAGTCGGTGTATTTCTGCAAAAGGCCATAAGAAGTCCCATAAATGACACGTGTTGAGTTTTCAGTGTTAATTCTCTCTGGCCTATTGAAGTATATACCTGAGAGCAACTAGACTCTGCTTTTAATGTAGTCTGTGTGCTTCAGTTTCACCAAGTCTTACATGAATAACTACTTGTAACTCTGCTTCCCACTCTGAGCTGAAGATGTTGGTTTTACCAAGCTACAGATGTTTAGGGAATAGTTTGGACATCATGTGTTCTCAGTCACATGTGAAAGTTTGAAGGACTGCAAGACTTCTTAGGGAAAAAAGAAGTGCTGCTGCTGCTGAACATTATCTACTGATAGTCGTGTTCAAATGCTAGATCACTCATGCTTACACCAGGTATTGGTTTTGGGACTGAAGACCTTAAGCAGGCTATACCACCTAGGCCCCCTTCTACAGTGTGGCTCTTCAGAATCGCAGATCAAGAGGAATCAAGGATACGTCTGCTGAATATACTCTCGACTAGTTCACTTACTGGGGGTCGTTCTGGTGAACAGCTTCAGATTATCAATGGAGAAGGAGCAAACCTGTCAAGAATGCGCTTAGGCATTTTGTTTGAGCAGTCTGTAGGATGTCTGAAGTCTTTCCCTGCTGTTTCAAGTGGCCTCTTTGGCTATTCTTAACCTCAGGCCTATAGGAATGAAGCTAGTCCATAACTCTCGGTCTCATCCTTTAAAGGGAATGGCGTAATTTTGGTCACAAACTGTCCTGCCTTTTGTCATCCTTCGTTTCGATTCTGTGGTCAGATGTTTGAGGCATTTATTAAAGTATGTGTCACATCAGAGGCTTTCTTTCAGATAGTCACAGTTTCGGAATATAGTCAGGTTTCCTGTTTCTTGATACCTCAGCAGTGTAATATCTGAACACATTTTCTGGATTTCCTCTATATAGTCTTCGGCAGAGTCTCGTTTTATACTTGATTGATGTGAAGAGTGGTTTGTACTATCTAACTTTATTATTATGCTATCAAACTTTTATTTCCTTCTAAGATTTGCTGTCACAAACGTACTCCAAATATTTTTATTGTGCCTGTAACTCTCCAATACTACTTTGAGCTATCTAGCTGCTTTTCAACAACGCAAGGCATTTAAATGTGTCATTCAGTGTGTATGGAAAATATTGCTGGGTCAGAGAACAGAAATCCCTTATGTGCTCAGTTTTTTTTCTTGCAAATTAAACCTTTTCACCCTGTGCAGTTTTCCATAATTGTATTTACATTTTTGAAACCATTAGTCTTGATATGGTTCTGAATAGAATTAGAATAATTTAAATAACAGCATATTTGCCATTCTGCTTCACATACTTTTTTTTTTTTTAATTCCTTTTTCCCAGTTTGTTGTGGTCACACAGTTTGTGGGCAGCTGTTGATAAGCCTCATCTCAAATGTTTGATACTGCCCTCACCTCCCACAAGATGAATTTAAAATGGTGGGCTAGAGTATTGTGAATTACCTGTGTACACATTTAGAACAGTTCATAGGTGGAAACTCCTACCATTGTCTAAAAACCTGTTTAAGCCATTTCCTCTTAAGAGCATTCAGTTTTTATTTTTATGAAGCTTTTCCTCTGCTTAGATTAAACTGATGGCAATCTAAAAAACACTTGCCTGAAAAGGAAGTCAAGCCCTGTTAATTTAGAAAAACATTAAGAGTTAAGGCGCTTTTGTTGCCAGTATGGCCCTAAAACTAGCTCTTAAAATATCACTGAAAACACTTCTACAATTTTCAGTAGACCACAAAAGCAGCTAAGTAGTTTCAGAGAGGCAGATGGGTACCGCTATTGAATTTGAGCTAGAGTTAAAATTATTTTGAAATTGGGATGCAAATATTTGTGATTAATTTGGATAACTTTTTTTTTTTTTCAGGTAATGCAATAATTCAATAGCTGTATTATTCATATAATCAGTAACAATACTTGCAGGAATTCAGAGGCAAATTTTTTGTAACAAACGTTTTAATGCCTTGTTCTGTAGTCATGGTCAGTGCCACGTTCGGTTTGTAACTCCTACTGCTTCGGGGAAGCTAGATATTAAATGACAACTGGTATGAATTGTTAGTCCATATCAGAACAGAAGGCAGCTGGCTGGCTTTTCTTTCTTTCTTCCGATGAAAGTCTCTCACCTAGAGAGGGAAAGAAAAAAACCAGGAAGCTGCCTTTTTCTGTTCAGCTGTGACTCTTCTCCCAACATGCTGTCAGAAGTAGCCCTCGGCTCAAACCTTTACCAGAGAAATATTAGAACAAGGATGGGATAGAAAATGCTCTGCTCTGGGAAAACTCATAAAGATTGAAGGATTTTCTAACTGATCTGCTTACATGAACCTTTGCAGTTTTGCACTTAAATGCATTTGGCATCATCTTAAACTTGGTTTGCTGAGGTTATGAATCCTGTTTTCTCTCCTGTTATGTATGTTTGGTAGCAGCTCATTTACTTGTCAGAAAAGCATCAGTTTTGTCCTGCTTCATGCTGATCTTCAAATCCAAATAATAATCAAATAATTCAAATCCAGACATATGATTTTTTTTTTCCTTTTGAGTTTCTACATTTTCCTTGATGCTATCATATCCAAATAATAGCAAGATTTGATTTTCTTAAGTTTCCAGAAGAGCTCTTTGTCAAGCAACTTTCTCTTTGCATATCAGGTCATGTTTTAATTTGCTATTTCCAGTATTGTTTCAGTTGCTTTTCATAAGCTCAAGTTCTGAGTTTGCTGCACTGAATTCACTAACTGGGTTATTCCCTAATGTGTTCTCATCAAATTAATCAGGGCAGTCATGTTGTGTTTAGAGATCCTTTTTACTGTTAACAGCACTGAGTTTGCTTTCATTCTTGGTAACTGGGCTGTCTAAACTTTCAGCACCTTTGTGCTTTGCAGTCTGTTCATTCCTAGCTGCTTTTTTGTCGTTGCTTTGTTTTCATTATGATACCCATATAATGTGTTTAAGATGATAGACCTGCTTTCCTGCTACCCATTGGAGCATCTCCTATTAATCCTCTTGCTACTCTCAATTACAGTGCTGTCAGTCATTCCAGGTTATACCTCTTCCAGACTCTTGCTGAGAAGAGAGTCTTCTCTTATATAACCTTGAATAGTCTTGTATCCAGTCTGGTGCCTCTTCATGGCTTCATCTTAATTACAATTATTGCAAGTCACCTGAATTTCAATAACTTACTCAATAACAAAATAGCTTAATAACTAAACAGCATTAGTTTGAAACCGACTGCCTTCATGGTTCACATTAAAATCATATGCTCAGTGACTGTGAAATTGGTGATGTTTACATTAAATGCATGCCAGGTAATTAATTAAAAGAAACCTTAACCCAGAACTATAGTAGTGATCACTTTGCAGTAAGACACCTTGTATTTAAATGCTTTTGTCTCAAAATACCTAACTTAGGAGTACTGCCTCCATTCCTTTAGGAGATATTTTTCCCAATACAGGGTAAGTTTACTTGTAGCAAATACAGTGTGGATACATTCCTAACAAATTAAGTTATCCCACTGTTATTTTCAAGGCATTTTGGTGCCTAGCTTAGACATTGTTTCACCTTTGTTACTTTTGGTTTGGAGCCACACAAATTTAACACGCTTTCCCTTAAAGCTCTTGGCTTTTAGTTAATGTGATATAAGTAACTCTGAAAATAGATATTATGCCAACTTTGCAGAAATGAAAGTAAACCCAGGTCATTCTACAAGAAAACTCATCTTGAGTGCAAGTAACAAGCAAATAAGAAATGGTCAAGTAATGTCCTAGTTTTAGAGAGCACAAAGTAAACTGGTCAAAATACAGTAACTCATTTTGAAATATTTGAAGAAATTTCACTGACTTTATTTTCTTTTAAAATCTGTTTTGTGTTTTTCCTTGAGCCTTAAACCAACTACTCTAAACCAAGCCTTCAGTTTAGTTTGGAAATTACCTTATAATACAGCTTCTGACACTTCCTATGCAACAAACGAGTCTGTTCTGGCATGTAGTAGCTTTAAAGGCATGGTCTAACACAGAGTAGGCCATCTTTTCCATCGACTCTTTTAAAACGATTTTTGTCACTACTTCTTGTATTTGCCTCTGTGTAACGTCATCTGAAGTGAGGATGGCCTGGGTATGAGACTGAATTGAAACCTTGCACTTTTCTCCCCATTTTTCCTGTGTTTTGCGTAGTCCCTATTTTATCAGTAAGATACAGGACTTTTATGTATAACCAATGGAGATTGTTCATATACACTTGTCCACTGTTGTGGCTTTTGCTTTTATTCCCAATATTTTGAATAATCAACTGTTAATTCAAACACCCTAAAGGGATGAGGGGGGGAGTGGTTTTGGGGGAAAATATAATTAGCTCATGTTCAACACCCAACACTGGAAAGAGAGGACAAAAAGGAAAAAATAATTTTTAAAGCAGGTATTGGTAGTGAATATGTGTTGTCAGCAGCAATATTTTGTAGTTTCTCTGTTCGCTGTAGCTGCTGAGACTTGCATAGAATAAGAGTACTGTCACTAGGTGGACAGTGTCGAATTTAAAGAGCAGAAGAGAACATTATCAGATGACGCACACTGCTTGAATACTTACAAAGTGGTGAGAAAAATAGGAAATGCCCTTGTTAAAAATGCAGGAGGGAGAAAGGCAAAAGCTAAGGAATGACAAACTGAAATGGACAGGTCTGCAGAGAGGTCAAATGCGCTTGAGGAATCTTGTGTGTTGGCTGGCTTCTGTGTCTCATGTACATCTACTATACTCCTTTCCTCTCAAATACTGGCATGTGGACTTTTGCTCAGTAGAATGGCTGAGGAAGATACCTTTCTACAAAAGGCAAAATGCTGGAAATCTAAGGCCTACCATTAGTTTTTGCTATAGAAATATAGGGGTTGGCTCCTTATTTTCCAAAATGAAACAAATATTTTTGAGAAGTACTTCGTGTGTGATTTGGTTTGTTTTTCTTTTCTTTCGATTAAATATTTTTATATGAAAAATTTGCACATGCTTATTTTTCAGCTTGATAGAACTAAAGACTTGATTTTGTTGATTCATACTTGGCAGCGTTGACTTTTGTATGAATTGTGACCGGGAAAAGGCCCACCATAGCCCCACACATTCATTAATTTTAAATATTTGTGTGCGCTATGCTAAGACACCTCACTAAAAAATACTTGGCTGTCTTCTGGCAGTTCATTAATGCCACAAAAAGCATGTTTGCCTTAAGAACCCTGGCCATCTTGCTATCGCTTTGCCCTGAAAGCACACGGAAGTGGGACTAGGATGATTCAGAAAATTGCATGCCAGATTTTAACACCAGTAAAACATTTTTTTTTTTTCAACCTCAGAAACAGAACCATTTGCTAAAACTGTCAAGAACATGAAAACACTTTCTAGCCCAAGATAAGTAAAATGGGAAATCTAACTTCACGCTGGTTTTTACATTCCCAAATCTTGTGTAATGCTAAGTAGCACTAGCAAAACAATCTTGTGACAGAAAGAGTTTGAAAATCTTAAACTGTCCGTCATGGTCTGTGCTGTTTGTTGCCAGATTCACTATCCGTATTCCGTCAGGTGCTGAGTAGCGCGTCCTCCTTCGCAGTGAGACTTGGTGAAATGTGCTTTCTGCTGTGGCCTTCTCTGAAACCTCAGCACATGGTGCTAATATCCTAAATCCCTGAGACTCACTCAGCAAGCAGTATCAGTAAAAGTCTCTGAATTGTGTGCCTCAGTAGTGCGTGTGCATCCTGTTTAGTGTTAAAAGCTGTTTTCTTCATAGAAGATTAAAGAACCTTTCAATTACTGTGCTGTCAAACAGTAATTGAAAGGTTTTTTTTATCTTCTTTGAGAGCATGAGACACTCTTCCCAGTGCTGCCATAAATCAAATTGGAACTCAAACTCAGAGTTGAAACATTTCACTTGTATGGAACAGTTCAACCAACGTAGCTGTGAAGAAAGTTTCTAGAAAAGACAATCCTTCCTTCCTAGTTTTTCTTTTGTAATACGCTGTATATGTATGTGCGTGCTTGCATTTTAAAATACTGTGCTGTTGCTTTAGTACTTGTTTTTAGGAATTTGCTCTGAATCAAAAGCATTTCGATTTGTATTTCCTGGCTCTGATGAACTCCTGCAGCTGATGGATGAGCTGAGAAAGAGCTGGCATGCCTTAACACAATTACTAACACGGAGAAAATCGGCAAATTAAATTCTTCTGTTTTGTCACTCTTCTTGCTACAGTACTGAGATAAAAATCTTTTTATATGTGAAAGACTAGGAAAAAAACTATTGTACTGATAATTGTGTAGCAGGATAACAGGAGCAGATGTTCTAGCAGGAAGTGCTGCTAGTTCAGTTTTATGGAGTTCCACTGTAGTCGTAGGACTCTAGGACTAGAGTTCATGGCTTACCCATGAGAAGTGCCTGGAAAGATGACACCCTAGTCTCTGGGCTCTTTTTTAAATAATAACTTAAAACCCCCCACCATAGTCTACTTGCATGCTTATAGAAAATATGTTGTATATCATATACTATGTATATATTGTATAAAATATAAATAAATTCCTATCAAATATCAGACTATTTCAGGCTGAAAATGGGATCTATGTGTTCTGGCCTTTAGGGCTTACAGTGTAGCTTAATACCCTCAATCTTTCTTGCCATAGCTTGTGAAAACAAATACTTTAAACTCAATATGGTTTGAAATAAGGAATATGTTTCTTAAATGCTGTTAGCATATGAATGAGTTACCTTCTTGCCAGTTAGTTTTTTAAAAACTGTATTTTGTAAGATTTATTGGTCCCATGAAATTTCTGGTTTTGTGGTTTTTCGTTTTAATGCCTCCCCGCTTCTCCCACCCAGGCAGTTAACATTGTTGCTTTTCAGCAGGGTTCTGGACTCAATGAATGACTTGACCATGAGTATAGGATAATTTTCTTTTTTTCTTTAAGTCTTTACTGTACTTGAATATTGTAATGTTAAATACTGTTCCCACATAATGGGGCAAGGCTTTGGTAATGACAGAAATAATCACCTTACACATCAAACTCTTAACAGAGATGAGGTAATGTACTTGTGTATCCTTCTGCTTTTTGACCGTTAATATGTGGAGTTTTTTTTCTTTTCACGTTTTTCTGATCCTTCCTGGTGCTGCAGTGTGTGGAGTATAGCCAACAGGTGAGGGATCACAACCCCCTTGCAGGTCTAGGCTATGCGAACTCTTGTCCATCTCTGATAACCTAAGCTGTGAGATACTTTTCCACATGGTGCAGAATAATTTCTGTTGCTGTGTAGTTAGCTTCATTAGTGGTCCAGAAGATTGCTTTGAATGAAAGCAAATGCTCATTAATTGGCTATTCTGAAACAGTGCTTTCGCAGGATGGTTTCTGCTGAGCTTCTGTCTTACAGTAGTTGTCTAATTGAGTGTTGCCATAATGTGTCATTTTTCCTTTAATTGCAAGTTTCATTTATTGTTTTTATTGTTTATCAGACAGCGTTATTGAAACGGCAGAGTCGATACATCCGTTCAACAGTTCCTGAAAATGCAGAGAAGGAAGCTCAAAGCTTATTTGTAACTGAGGTAATATTGGAATTGCATGTGGTGGTGTGTAATAGCAGTATTATACCTGAATTGTTTGTTTCTTTTTCATTTACCTTTTAAAAAAACAAGAAAGAGACCTCTGAAAAGAATTATTAAATATTTACTGCCTTTTACTTGTCAATGATTTCAAGGGAAAATTTCTGGGAAAACCTAGTATTTTTTCCATTGGTGTCTGGAAAAGGAGGATTACAGGATAACTTTTACAATTGGCTTTTGCAGATGCTTCTCCTCTACCTTCTCTATGCTTCTGTCATTCCCAGATGAACATGAGTGATTTCCATATGTAATACTAGGGACAATAGTAAATCTGAAGGAGTCCATGTTACTTGTTTTTCCTGATAAAGTGGTTGACACCAGTCATTCTTAGTTTGTTCATAATAATCTTGTACAGTGTACTGGAACAGAGATACTTACAGCTGTAACACTTGTAGAGGCCAAAATTCATTATGGCTGCTGAGTTTGTATGTAGAAAAAGAGATCCTTAAACCTGAAGTTTCTCATACCTGCGTGCTTATGTTGACGTTCCCTTGATTCTGATTGTAATGTTGCATTTCATTTGGTGTCTTGTTGAAGCCTTTCACAAATGAAAGGTTTAAAATTTTTGCCTTTTTTATATTATCTACTGGTATACTTTTTAAGCTCATATTTTAACATCTGAAATAAGTAAATGCCTTTTCTAATTCCAAGAAAACTGAAGGAGCTCCAAATAGCTGAATTTACCTCAAACCTCAAAGTGTTTTCTCCACAGTTATATGTACCCTTAATACCCAACCTAAACAGCTCTTAGATAATTTTGAAGAAGATAGACAGAGAGGGAGCAGTGTTATAGGTAATTCATTAAGTTTAATGAGTTTCTGCAGAAACAATTGCTTGGCAAGTATTAACTTTGTGTTTTGAAATATAGAAAAAATATTTATGAATTATTAGATGCTACGTTTGTGTACATGTAAGTCTATTCATGTAACACATAAAATCTTGTACCGTATGGTTTCTGGCAACAGATTTTGCCAGGTTTATGTTGCTTCAGTCAAAGCCAAGATAAATCAGTACTTTTATGTTGTAGCAATATGGGTGGAGTAAAACAGTATTTCCTGTGATCTAGGCCAGAGCTTAATGACATAATAGCTTTTCAACAGCTGGAAGCACGTAGCTTAAACTTAAATATGAAGTTAATCACACTAGAAACAAATTTAAGGAGAAGATATATGTGGGTTGTGTTGTTTTTTTTTTTTTTTTTAGTTTCTCCATATCTGTATGTGCGAAATAGAATAGTCAATTTTAACAATGCACCTGTATATTCGTGCTGAGTTTTCTAAAGGCTTAGTCATGTTTTCAGCTGCAGCAGAATGCTGCTTTAACTCGTCAGTCAATTGAAAATGGTTAATCCAGACGCTCTGTGTATTCACCTTTTTCTGGTTTTATGATACACATCTAGCAGATGATAACGTCCTGTTGAAACACATTACTTGTAAAAAGCTGTATTGCACTATATTGCAAAAGGAGGAAAGCATACAGAATGCTCATAGAGATCGACATGTAACCATAGTAGCTCATAAACAGCTGTATCTTAAGAGGTTTTTGTGTGTGTCTCAGGAATGCTGTTAATTTTCAGTTAATATTGATGTTTGTTTTTCATTAAAACAGTGCATCAAAACCTACAATTCAGACTGGCATGTTGTTAACTATAGATTTGAAGATTACTCGGGAGAGTTTCGGCAGCTTCCAACGTAAGTATGTTATTAGTGGTATAATAAAGAACTTGAATTTGTGAAGGAACCAAACTCTATTTTATATAAATGTGTTAATACATGTAATATGTAACTTGAAATATGCCATGTCAAACGTTTAACAGTTAGTAGAGATGGTAGATTTCTTGGATGGAACTTCTATTGCTGAATTTGAAGGTATAAAACCTTGTTAAACCATTTTCTGGAAAGATGCCGTAATAAAACTGCCTTATTAATAGGCAGGTCAAAACAAGAACTTACATTCATTGACAGTGTGAATGTAAGCATTGTAAATAAAACAGGCTAATGTTTATATGAAAGTAAAATGGCAATATTCTGGTTTTGTAGCTTCAAAGGCAGCTTTTGGAACTCCTTTTAGGAGCTTAGGGATTAGAACATAACTGAGATGGTTAGAGCAAGTGTTTGAACTAGTGCAGATTTTCACAGGATGATTCAAAGCAAAAGCCTCATCCACATCTATTACAGACTTTCTAAAATATCTGCTACAGAAATCTTTTCCAACTTTTTCAGTATCTGAGAGTGGCTGAATACTCTGAATCCCACAACTCTTGAAGATCTGTGTCTTCCCTACCTACTCACCTGCTTTTAACAGTTCAGCAATAGCTTGCTTTTCCTGTGAAAAGTTCTGGTTTAGTCGCAGGTTTTGTAAAAGTCCTGCTTTTCACTTGCCCTGAACAGAAACCATGCTAGTCAATAGGAATATAAATAAACTCATTGTCCTAAAAGGAGCCTGTCGTTACATGTGTGAATTCTTGCTCCCAAAGTATTAGGAGTGCAGTGAATGAGAAAGCATTGGTTCTCTGCAGTCATATGTAAGGACAGTGACAAGTGGAAGAAAGGGAAGTCTGTGGTCAGATGTGGAAATCAGGAAAATTGCTGGATAAGAAATACATTTGATGAAAAATACATGTTTTTACTCAGTTATTCCTGTGCTTTTTTTCTCTTCAGTTAGGAAAATAATATCTTTATTTTTGCAGCTATAAAATATGCAACTAATCACAAAATTTCTAGTATTTTAGAAACTTCTTTTGTTTCACAGTAAAGGGACGAAATCTGAGAAGCTTCCAGTTCATTTATATGAGGTGGATGAAGAAGCAGATAAAGATGAGGTGAGATAACAGCAATTCCTTACTTTCTGTTGCTTTCAGTAAAGAATGTTGGATCAGGAGAGGTTTCAAGTTGGGGTAAATGTTGAAGTCAGCAAATGAAAACAGAGATTAGCTTGATCAGCCTGATTGGGAAAACAACATAGCTATTTTACCTATCTCCTTTCAATTAGCCTTGTACTCCTGAGATCTGTCACATGAGTAGAACAAGTTTTGACAGATGGTGAGATTGAAGTTCTAATACTTGGTGATGTATAATCCTTCAGCTTTCATAAAAATCTCTCTTGTCTTACACTGTTTCTGTATAGACAGGCACACAGAGAAATACTTTATGCAGTTTAATCACAGAGTCAAGCACAATCATAGGTGGATCTGTTCCAACATGACAGTACACATGCTTACTCATGCATGGTAGTATAGCATGCAGTGTGATCTAAAATTAGTTTGTCATAAATTTGAGTATAGGATAAGACCTCAGGTCATAGAAAGAAAAGCTAGAAAAATTGACTAAAACTCTTAATGTTGTTGTTTTTTTTTGTCATTGGTTTAGGGAAATCAGAGATCTGTAGTCTCAAGGAATTTTCAAGTGTTTCAAATGTCAGAAACTTTTTTCAGTAACTGCTTCTGTTATGTGATTTATTTAATTTTTACCACACCCTGTTTCAAAACACAGTGTTTAAATGCCAATGTTTTCTGACAAGTACTTGAACTCTTGCATACCAGGAAAGAATTAAACTAAAAATTTTTTTTTTTTTTGGCTTTTACCCTTTGGCAATTACTTTGCTTCTAAATTCCTTGTATTCAGAACGGCTTCATATGAAATAGAAGCAGTTTGTTCCAAGTTTTCCTGGATTAAATGTGGAAAAAAGTCCAGGGAGGGCATCTGTATAGGTGGATTCCTGGACAGGTAGTCTTGGGATGCTTTTCTCCAGCGCTGCTATTAATCTGCACTGTGATGTTTGGACAAATAATTACATGCATCTATATCCAAATTTTGTTATATGTAAGGTGGGAATAATTATATTGTATATTGTACTGAAAGTAAAAAGCCTTGGCATTATTTACTGTGGTAATATCTCTGGCTACAGAAATGTTTTAGAAAACAGTGAGTTAAACATGAAGAAATTAAATGGAGATATAATTGTCTGTGATGGTTACTAGGAAAAATACTTACAGCTAGAGTTAGCTAAACACTGAAAAACTATAGCTTGGCTGTTATCAGGTGGTGTGTTTTGTACTGGGAAGTGTAGAGGACTTCCTGTTTCCTTCTACTCAGTTTCCTGTTAGAGCAGGCAGGAATGTCATACCTCTTTCAGAGGTAGTCACTGGAGAAGAGGTCTGCTACCTTTTGTTGAGGAACTTTAAACTATAAACACAAGGAAAAAAGCGTGCTGGGAAGAAAAGGGAGCTTAATGGGTGTAGGGTGGGCGACACACCATAAATACTTCCCTCAAGGGAAGAATTAATGCAAGAGACTTTTCATTAAAACAGCACCATTTTTGTATGCCAAAAAACGTATATGCAAACCTTAGGTTAAAACTTGTTTGGTGTTCTTTTTGTTTTACTTTTGTTTAAGGTTTATTTTTAAGAAAGCAAGTTTATTAAGAGAATGATAGAAAACAAAAAGCTGCAAGTGATTAAAAATTTGAGGAGAAACAGACAAAGATTAAACTAACCTTGGACCGTTAAACAGGAGAGACTTATCTTTCCAAAATTCATTTGGACTATCAGGTTGATGTTTGTAAATGGAATTTTTAAATTAGCCTGGAGTATGGGATCAAGATAAAGAATTGTTTTTGTTGAAACAGTTGCTGTTGAAGTAAACTTTGGAGCCGAGTTTGTGGGAAAGATCATTAAAAAACAGTGAAACGCAGTGTGCAGCAGTAATAATAAAAATGAGGAAATTTACTTACCAGTTGGAAACAGGAAGTATGTTTTCTGTGTATAAGTCATGTGTTAACGACTGGGTTCTGGGTTCCATTGTGTTAACAGGTGGTCAGCTGGAAAGATTCGGTAGCTTTTTGGCTCTGAAGGCAGGAATCCTGCCTGATGGAAAGAAGTGTAACTAGAGAGGTCTAAATGACAGTCAAATTTACTGTTAGGAAACACGCGGTTCAACGCAGTTGGGAAACTGCGCAGTTCAGAGACTCAGAACTGGAATAAGAGTCTTAGAGCTCTATGTTAATCGTTGTTAGCAGGAGTAATGAAGGAATTCTTGTCATGTCACGTAGTCCTATGTAAGGTTTGTGAAATTACAGAAAAGCGTTGGTGGTTCTGTACAAAGTTTTGATGATAACTCATCAACTCATCATTTCAGACTTCTAAGAGTGGGTTTAAACTATCCTTTCCTTGGGGTTAACTTCTACCAGCAGCAGTGCAGAATCATAGTGGGAAACCCAATGTTTTAAATTGTTGTCTCTGTATCTTGTCTGTTGTACAAGGAAAATGGTTATCTAGGTAATAGAACAGGAGTGAGGACTTATGATTTGAAAATATGAAACAGGTAGGCTGTATTTGCTTGGACAGTGAGACTCACTGGGGCATGTGATAACTTGAGTGTCTCTGGTCTATGCTTCTGGGGAATTATGTCTGATATAAGGGTTCTGATAGTTGATGACCATGTCATCCTTTCTGTACCTAATTTCTATAATATCAAGCTGACTAGAGTTTTTGAAGGAACAGACTAATCTTTTGCCTTCTGCTTGCAGTTTTTTGGAAGTTGGCATGTGCATATGTAAGCTAGACAGACTAAGCTGTAAATTAATTAACTAGTTAATTCTTACAGAATATTCCTTAATTTAGTTCTGGAAACTTAATCATATTATTCCAAGATTTGGAATTAAAAAAAGTAGCTGAGGCACTTGAGGAAATTTTTGTATTTTTTGTTCTCAACTAGATGCTCAGCTCATTCTGAATGTTTATTGTAATAATTTATCAGGAGTATTTCTCCTCTAGATCGTTGAAAATTTTCCTACACATCTCTGATTAATATTTTTGTTAAGTCAAAATGGGTTACCTCATCTGGAAACCATAGTCAAGTCTGCTTGGTGCAGCTCTAAAAGATTACTGGAACTGGTGATTTAATATTCTGTGACAATTTTAAATCTGTCATCATTTTGATCAGTTTTGGTGGTAGAGTACCACGTTTTGGTAGTTGCTAACATTTTATGGATTTTGACGTAGTTACTAAGTACATCAGCTGGCAGATGGAAGAGGCATACTGGCAGTGGGTGTGCTGCTGTCTGATGCTTGCATTGCTTCTGCTGTTTGGAACCTTGCCATTACTGCCAAGTTTGGTCGTCTTCTCTTTAGAAAGCTTTGATTTTGCTCTGTAAAAGGGCAAATCCAATTCAAGAATTCAAGACTTAGTTCTCTGTAAATTCTGTAAGTAGTGTTTTTGAAGTAATATATATAAAGCAAAAATGGTTTGAGAAATCTCAATTGAAGTTCTGGATAAGCATAAGTTCACACTGATCTTATTGGTAATAGAAATTGGTAAAACTTCTTGCACTGGAGGATTGGAATATAGGAAAAAGCTTACAGAGTAAATACTTTGAATTTTTCCCTCTTTCCCCTATTTCAGTGGGTTTTATTTTGATTAATATTTAACTATCGATAAGTCTGATCATCCTTCTGACCATAGACAAAGCCTATATATGTGCCCAGGTTAAACCACGCCAGTTACCTATCAGAAGTTAGATGAGGTCAGGCTCATACCTCATATTTTATTCAAATAAAATAATCAGAATTAGAAAGCTGTAGAACTTTGGCAGGGTCTGAGAGTCCTTTATTATCATTACATTATGAGCCTAGCTATTCTATCTTTTAAAAATTACTTCTAAAATTTTCAATAAATATAACAGTTTGAGATTGTGATGCAAAACTTCATGTTTTTTTTCTTTCCTGTCTCTCTTCGTCACTAGGATGCAGCATCTCTTGGGTCTCAGAAGGGTGGAATAACAAAACAAGGATGGCTGTACAAAGGCAACATGAATAGTGCAATCAGTGTGACCATGAGAGTAAGTTTAAGAATGCTTTATGCATGATAAAAACTGAACACCAATGTTAAAGTATCACTGTGCCTTTGAGACATCAATTAGTATGTGGCTTACTTCTAAAAAAAAAAAAAAAAACCAATGAGATGAAAGAGGGGAGTTTATATGTAATTTATAGCTGTGAAATCTTACTTTCCTGTCTACGTATTCTTACTTTTCTTACTACTTACTACTCTGATTCTATTTAAATGAGGAAAAATCCATTAAAAATCCAGCATGTGGTCCAGTGTTTTAAATAATTTTCTTAACCAGACCATGGTGTGTTATTAATAGAAAAGTCACTATGAGGACACTATGAGGAGGCAATATGTACTGCCTCTTTATTTAGGAAGAAACTTAAGTTACTTTTGCAGTTATAATAAATATCTATGATGTATAATCATAATCATATAATCATGGAAGGGTTTGGGTTGGAAGAGACCTTAAACAACATCTAGTTCAAACCCCTCTGCCATGGGCAGGGACACCTTCCACTAGACCAGGTTGCTCAAAGCCTCATCCAGCCTGGCCTTGAACACTTCCAGGGATGGGGCATCCACAGCTTCTCTGAGTAACCTGTTCCAGTGCCTCACCACCCTCTCCGGGAAGAATTTCTTCCTGATATCTAATCTAAACCTCCCCACTTTCAATTTAACCCGTTACCCCTTGTCCTGTCACTACAGGCCCTTGTAAAAAGTCCCCCCCAGCTTCCTGGTAGCCCCTTCAGGTACTGGAAGGTGCTATAAGGTCTCCCCGGAGCCTTCTCGTCTCCAGGCTGAACAAGCCCAACTCTCTCAGCCTGTCCCCATAGCAGAGGAGCTCCAGCCCTCTGAGCATCTTCGTGGCCTCCTCTGGACTCTCTCCAACTGTTCCATATATACAGGCCCTTGTAAAAAGTCCCCCCCAGCTTCCTGGTAGCCCCTTCAGGTACTGGAAGGTGCTATAAGGTCTCCCCGGAGCCTTCTCGTCTCCAGGCTGAACAAGCCCAACTCTCTCAGCCTGTCCCCATAGCAGAGGAGCTCCAGCCCTCTGAGCATCTTCGTGGCCTCCTCTGGACTCTCTCCAACTGTTCCATATACTTCTGATGTTCAGGGCTCCACAGCTGGACACAGCACTTCAGGTGGGGTCTCACCAGAGCAGAGTAGAGGGGCAGAATCCCCTCCCTCG